GTTTTACAGTCAGAGTGGAGCATGACTGATGGAGTTGTGGGGGTTCGGATTGCAGAAAAGAGGTCAATGTCACAAACAGTGGGGAACACCCGATGATATAGCAATAATAGGTTATTTCCCAACCTTTTGGGAAAAATGGGCAGGAGTTCCGACTAGATCAAAGACTGCCAGGTGGCATGAATTAAAACTGAAAACCATTGCTGGCTATGAGTGACCTTGGGTGGTTAGGTAAATGGTCGGAGTCACAACGAACAAAAGTGGAGATGGAGATGGGATAATTCAAATTGGGAGCACATGTCAAGTTTTGTCTCAAAAATGTGGTTTAATTTGAAAGCAAGCAAACTCACTGTTTGCACTGTTGTGGGGATGTCAGGTGCAAGGGAACAGGTTTGATGGGGGCATGTTGCTAATACATAGGGCGACCTGAACTCCGTATACGGATTTGAACTTGTGCAACAGGCAAGTCGAAATTGCAGCAGGAAAGCCAGGCTAGCCAAATCTGAGCGAAAATTTAGTTGGTACGGAAGAGCTCATCCCAGATACGTGACCGGATGGGAACTGCTCGAAGTTGTGGCTACAGGCTTGAGCGGGCGAGGGGTTGCGGTCAAGATTCTGGAGAAAATTGTTGCGAGAGTGCCATCTCACTGGGTATGACAGTGCTATGCCATCATCGCACTGACATACTTCGGTTTATGGACAGCCCCGTAACGGTCGTCAAGGGTCGGAGAAGGGATACGCAGTTCCGTGGTGAAACGGAGATTGACACAGGAGTCGTGTAGATGTAGGCTCATGGATAATTTCCCTTTTGTTAGAGGACCGTATGAGTGTGATCATGCCAGATGGTATGCAACCAACAAGTTGGGAATTAACATTATTATTATTAATTTTCCCTGCTAGATAAAATTCAATCACCAAAAGGGCTACTAAAACAAACATTTCATTTTTTTGACTCTTCCCATTTGAAGAAGGTATGCGTCTGCAGATCGTGCGCGCAATCTAGGCTGGTTTAAATGTCTTTTATGAGCGAAACAAGTTGCACCGTAGTACACACGCCGTTGACGATAAGCATCCGGGTGTATGGCTTGACGAAAATCTCTGTGGATGGCAAACATAAACTGGCTGATGAGCTGAAGCCCAGTAAGTAGGGTTGTACATCAACACTACTTACACATGAATCAAACAGAATGGCAGAAATATATGCAACAGCATGTCGCAAGTTGATTGAGCGGAACTGGTCCCGAGCGGTACACCGTCGCTAAATCGTGTGACAACTCCACGGTGCCGGACGCGGACTACCTAATCCGCAACGCAGTGGAGGACTGTGCTGCCGGTGAGCATGACCTAAATGCTTTCAGGGTGATATCAAAAAATCTTTTAGAATACCCGGCCCATGGGCACAACTATAATTTACGACAACATTGTCCCTCTTTTACATTTATTACAGAAAAAGTGCAAAAATGTACAAAAGGCAGTATACCCTCCAAAATTTGTGTGATTCATGACGGACCAGTGAGAGTTTCTACCTGATGACTACTCTAAATGATTGTTCCAGAGGCACGAGGACCCAGGCTTCTTCGTCAGACTGTTCGGACAGTGGGCACCAAAGAGAAATTTAGGTGCTGGTTACTAGTCGGTAGGATGCAAAAGCTTTTTTAACCAACATGCTGATCATTGAGAGCATGGACTTGTCCGCAGTCTGCGGTGCTTTCAACTTAGCGTTCAATATGAGTCACTTTTCTGGGCATGCGATTCATGCATAGGCTAGTATTCTGATTGATTATTTGCGCGCAGGCCAGGAAGCACGCACAATAAAACTGCACTTGCGTCTTAAACGCACAATGCTTTTTTCGCTTCAGGCAGACTCTAAGTGAACAAAAAACTGCCGCCGTGAAATTTACATGAACTGGAGGCTGAGCGTACCTCCGTGGTATGAAAAAATGTGTCCATCATTGCGGGAGGGGAGGAGTATATGGTATGAAAATCGCACGCTGAAACGCTCTGCTGTGATTAGTATTCAACGTGCAGACTTTATGCAAGATTTTCCGGGGCAGAAGGCGGTCGGTCATCCTCCTCTTATAATGTGAAAACTTTTTCAGTACCCTGGGCATGGTCGGAAATCAAACATAATAAACGATGAAATTGTGAAATTTTTGGCCGAATCGGCTCAGCTTCTCCCAGAATGGTGTTACTGGCTAGGAACACAAGTGTTCATCAATTTTGGGACACGCCTCAACCTCATGTCAAGAAGGCGAAAATTTCCTCCCGGGTTAACGGTATGGCAGGATTTTGCGAAGGCTGGTCATATGCATCGTATTCTGAACAGGGCCGTTATATTTGGTTCGTACACATGAACAGAACGTCATCAACCGAGAACTACCGTGCCCCATTTCCAGTGAATTTGTCTCAGAGAAAGCTACCATGGCAGCCCGCTGGTGGGGATTTTATTATCAATTACATCGAAAGTAGTAAATGAAAAATCTGGTAGCTCTAACCAGCTAGAGTTCTGGTCAATGCAATGTGTATCCTCTGTTATGTTGACAACGAAATTCCCCACGTTTATTATGTACCCACTGGTAACCCCCGTCTTACTTTTGTGTTCAGTGTGTATATATGAATTGGCGTTTGTTTGTCCTTACCACTTTACCCATTTGGCCTTGAGGTCATCCGGCCACTTGTATCTGACTTTCCGCGTGTGACTGTCGAACGTGGGAGCTTGCTTTCTCCATTGCTTTGTACTTTTATAGTCCAAGTGGAATGCTTGTTTTGGACGCGTATCTACTGCGAGGTTTGTATAATTTGTGCATTTCTCTTACCTTAATAGTACCGTATAGAAACCCAGCTCCGACTTTGTTTTGCCTATCCGGAGTTTCTGGTATTACGCGTTACTCGAAGATACCGTTCGACCCTTACACAAGGTTCGCAGCGTGGTTTGCGTTGGTTAGAACTAAGCTGTATGTTTATGGGTGTCACCCTGGGCGGTACGCCGTGGGCTTTAAACATCCGTCTGGGCACTTCATAGCACGACTACACCGAGGAGTTCTTCACAGCGGGAATTCTCTAGTTATCCGTCAACCAATAACAGCTGTGCGCAGCCGTGAGCTGGAACATTTTAAGATAAAAGTCATCATCGATTTATCTCGAAAATCTCCAATCAACCACAGGTGGAGGGAGTGTCCGTGTTGCTCAGTTGTTGTGCTATTCAAAAAAAATTTGTTAGTGTGGGTGTGATCATCAGAAGAATTCCTGGATATGGACAGGGCCAGCCCCCTTGTGAGGCGAGCGAGATATGTGTAGCCTAGCCAACGACAATATATCCTACAGAAGTACCGCTTCTGCTGGTGGCTTCAGGCATTCGAGCCAAAAAGTGGCAACCTCAGGACGCTCCTAAGCAGCGTTTCTTTCCTAATTATTTTCTTGGTTGAACGGTGCTAACAAACATCTTCAGTAGGAGTAAGCCCATTTAAAATGCGCTCAGTAGTTTCGTGTTTCTAAGACTTGCTTTTACTCGCTGTTATTATCATCCCAAAGGTTACTATCTCTGGAAAGTTTAGTAAACCCGCTGAATAAAACTAGTTGCATGGTCCGTTTTGTTTGAAGTGCTCACGCTTCTAAATGAAGAGACGCGCTGAAGTTCACCGGATTTGGCTGCCTGCTTGTAACCAGTTTGCGGGCTGGCTGGGTTGAAATTCGCTGAGAGAAGAGAACGCATTTGGAGGACATATAATCGAGTTTCAGTTTATAGCTGATGCACAGAAGTCACATGCCTCTGAAATAATTGAGTACATGAAGGTTGTGAGAAATTCAAAGAAGCTGAGGGGGGAAAGCTGTCTTGGCGGACGCACCACTTAAATGACAAGAAACGCCTGTCTTTGAACTGAAACGCTTTTGTCCGGAGCTATCGTAGACCAAATCTGGAAGAAATTTGGACTGAGCATCAGCAGCTGTAAACTTTGTTGAGAGAGAGCTAAATAGCGAATTGAGCTTTAGCGAATCTTCCTAATTTGGTGAGCTTGAAATAGAAGATAATCAGTTGTGACAACCGTAGAAGAAATCATGCGACCGTATGTCATCTTGAACTCATCAGGCGTCGGTTGGCGGTAGACGTCTGATTACATGTATGACTACTTGTGTGCACTCCTCACGATGTAGAGCAGTGTGGGTATGGAAATAACTAATACCCAGATTCTTTGCTCTATCAAGCTTGCTTGCCCCAGTTCATTCTCCACCACGCGGCGGTTCCACGACCCAGACTAGATGTGAGTTGCAAACATACTTTGAACCAATGCGTAGAACCAGCCTATTGCTCAACCTCCGGTTGAATGAAGACCAAATTGGCTCGTTAACGTCGAATTCCTGGGCCTCGATGTCGACCATGTGAAGCCAGTCAGGATCCTTCTTAAAGTCCGGATGACCGTTAACGCGCTTTAGCATAGCGCCGGCTGAAACACAAAAGCTGAGCGCCCGATGGGTTGGACTTAGAGAAAATCTCTCGGTGGGCTGCCTGAATCCATTCCCCAAATTAACGCCCACCAGTTGTCAAGGAATTCTTCGTCAACTGAAATACCAGTGTTTGCACCTTTTCACCGAGTGACGAATTTGCAAAATCTAGCCCAGCTTCTGTCCAGCATTTTTTTGAAATATTCTATCGCTGGGTTTGGTAGTGGTGTAGCGGACATTCACATGTTCCCTCA